ATTGCTGTCACCAATTTTGTCACAGCAAAAACTCTGACTGCAGGTGCTGAGCTGGGTCCTGCCAGCTGGGTCATCTGAACCACCTCGAGACGAGCCCACAAAGCGTCATCTGCCTAAAACTCTTGTGCATTTAATCTGAATTATTTATCCAAGTTATTTTCCTTGGGTTCCTTCCCATGGCAGGCTCTGCATCCATAGGTTCTTTTATAATACTTGGGGGCTGCACCTGGCCAGCATGAGCAGAGCTTTGCTTCTGGTAGATGCTTTCCAGGCTTATTTAAAAAAAGAATATCAAATTAAAAATTATTTATTGCATATTTCTGGTGTACATCACTAATGTAAATATGGGTCAACTGTATTTTTTTATTAATTTCTGTATTTCTGTGTTTATTCATGTATTTATTATTTTTGAGCCATTCCAGTTACTTGGTCAGGGCCTTTTACAACCATCAACAGCAGGGCATTTTCAAAATCTTTGTGTTCAATACCTTGAATAGGTTGTTCCATGTCACAATTTTTTGTTATTAGGGCTGCTCTTAGTCTGTGTTTTCCCCGTGCTCTGCCACTGCTCAGGGCTGAGCTGCTGAAGGATCCTGGCAAATCCCTGGTTGGGGATGTACAGCTCTGGAGAAGGACTGAGATGGGCAAGGATGGCTTGGACTTCTGTAAAATGTTATTTTAGCAGGTTTGGGCCAGTTAATACTGGTTTAGAGCTTTAAAGGTCTCTGAGTAGCTTTCCAATTTAAAAAAAAACATCATTTGTGTTTATATTTTGCTAAGTACTGATATCTGTGGGCGCCTGCAGCTCAGGCTTTAACCGCTCCAGGGATTTGTTAGGATTTGTTAAGATTTGTGAGGTCCAGGGTCCTCACCCATGGGCTTGGCTTCACCCCTTGGTGCCTCAGAGCCTCTGGCTGGTCCCTACCCACTGCTTGGCCCCCGTAAATTCTTCAGGCTGTGCTTAAGGGGTGAAATAAGTGAAGAGATAGTTGAGGAGAAATCTTGGAAGTCCTTGCAGAGATCCTTGGGATACTACAGCAATTTTTTGGGTTCATGACCTACTCTAAGATGAGACACACAGATAAACAAAAAAGGTGAGGAAGCACCATGGACTGAACTGGTCTGCCCAAGTAGACTTATGAAATGGTTATTTGAGGTTATATTATTATTATTATTATTAGTACTCATTACAGTCTATTTTATGTCTGTGGACACAAGAGCCTGGACCTAGAGCTGTCCTAAGGAGGAAAAGGGTCCCTGGCACAGGTGCCCAGAGCAGCTGGGGCTGCCCCTGGATCCCTGGCAGTGCCCAAGGCCAGGCTGGACACTGGGGCTGGAGCACCTGGGACAGTGGGAGGTGTCCCTGCCATGGCTGGGGTGGCACTGGGGGAATTTGGGGTCCCTNAGAGCAGCTGTGGCTGCCCCTGGATCCCTGGCAGTGCCCAAGGCCAGGCTGGGCATTGGGAATTGGGGCACCTGGGACAGTGGGAGGTGTCCCTGCCATGGCTGGGGTGGCACTGGGGGGATTTGGGGTCCCTTCCAACCCAAACAAATCAAGAAACACCCCAAGAACTCAATCCCGTAACAGAATTCCATGGCACAAGGAAGGAGATCATTAAAAACAATTTTATTTGGTGTCATTGTACAATTTTTTTCACATCTTCCTCCTTTCTTCTCTCCATCTTCCCCTTGGTATTTCCATCCCATGTTTCCTTGTAGATACAGGGCAACTCTCGACTGGCTGTGCTACCCACACCAACTCCAGTCTCAGTTTCCTTTTTTATCACTTGATATTTCTATTTTAGATTTTACACAGTAGGAAATCTCTGACTTTTTCTGGTTGAAGCAAAGCAGCTTTCAGATAATTTCCTTGCACCCTCACCACCTCTATTCAGTACTTGCTTTTGCCACAAAGTCATTTCTCAAACAGCTTAATTTACTTAAAGATAAGTGCAAACAAAGAGTCACATAACTAAAATCCTCTAAAAGTTTGTGGGCACCAAAAATGTACAATTTTGTGACTAATTAATTGCACCTTTTAATTCATTATGTCCTTTCAGTAATAGCACAAAGCCAACAAAGAGAAAACAAAACCATTAACTGCAACTGTTGCTTTATTTACATGTTTAAGAAACAAAATATTTGAGAAATAAAATCAAGCCACAACTGTATCACCTTTGTCACTGTTATATTCCAGCTGGCCAAAGTGCTCCAGTGAATCACCTCTGAAGCAGGGTCCCAGACCAGGAGGTCTCAGCTCCTCCATCTGTTAATTTTGACCTGAGCACTGAGCAATTATATTTGATATTTCATCTAACATTGAAATTTAGCATTGCACAGGAGAAAGGGAAACGGCTTGGGTTTCATTATTTGATTTCTACAATTTTAAGTTCTAGGACAGTTCATTTAATTACAACTTTAGTGTTTTATGAAGTATCTGGGTAGAGTTTTAAAGAATACCAGCAACTTTTAAAAACTTTTTTATGACTTGTGGGACTTCAGGAACGTTCCTCCTTTGTATGCTTTAGTTTAGAGGTTGTTTGCATGCCCTGACTCCAGACTGGATGCTTTCTCTTCCTTTCCCTGTAAAACTTAGGGCCCTACATCGAACAACGACAAGTGGCCAAAAAGGAAGGGAAGGGAAAAAAAAAAAAAAATCAATTTGTAATCTGATTTGAGGGTTTTTGATTTCCTCTGATGAGTTTCAATTTCATTAAAAGCAACCTTATTCGCACATAAAAGAGCTCCTTGAAGGGTAAAGCGGGGAATTGTCTCAGGGAGGATAAAGCAGCGGCGCTCCTTTGTGTGGTTTATCCAGGGCATTAATTTGGGGCGCGGCGCGCGCGGACGGGCGGGTGTGGGTTATCGGCGCCGCGATCTGCGCGCGGGGGAGGCGCTCACAAGGGCTCGCATTCAGCCGCCACCGCGGGCCCTATTGACACCTGCGTTATCAACAGCCCTTATTATCTGCTTAGCGGCGGGTCGCAGCCCGCCGGTGACATAATAAGCTACAAATCACTGGCGGGGCCTTTCTGCATTCTCCTAATTGTGTGTATTCTCTGGGAAAAAATTATCGCCGGGCCTCTTGTCTTGATGAGAAATTGACATTTTCTGGCGGAGCCTGGCGAGGACTATGCGGGGAGATAAGACTTATAGTTGTTTTAAAGGAGTGCAGCCATTCTTTCAGAGGCCTCTTTATTGCTCTAGTTGACCCACTTGATGAGTATGGATTTCATGAGGTCTTTTTCAGCATTTGAACTATAAAAGGTTCAGAATGACACCACCCCTTATAGACAAAAGATAACCTTGCCCTTTGAATATATTGATTCTTTATTAACTAGGCTGTTTAATGCAATGAAATGAGGCATTAGATTGAAGCCTATTTCAAGTGCTTTGAATAATCTTTAAAAGCTTGAAAGACTTTTAAAAGCTGCTCTGCAATAATTGGCATGTACTTTTAGAGACTCTTATTCCTTCGTTTTGATTAAGGAATTTTTATCATCTTCCTGTGTCTAAACTCACTGTGGGCTGACACAACATATTTCCTCAGCAGGGCTCTTACCCAGATGTGTCGTAGGTGGCGGATTGCTCTAGGAATTGTCATATGTGGGTTTTCTCCTTTTGTGTTTTCCTTGCATTGAAAGTTAGAGGAACCATTTAGATGCTCATTATTCAAACCTTTGAAATAAAACTAAAAGGAAAAGTGCCAGTAGGCATCGTGCAGACTTTCATCCCTAAAAACCAGCTTATTTTTTAGTGGGATGCATCTGATTATGCCGCCTTTTAAACACGATACACAGACACGCACTCAGAGTGGAACAGTTTTCAATGCATAATAATAATAATAATAATAATAATAAATAATAAAAATAATCCAAAGTGTTCTGAAGATTTAACACCTTTTTTTTTATCAAATCAGTTTTCATCTGACATGAAAACTATGGAAATGCTGGAGAAGAAAGGAAGCATGGTTAAAAATCCTGGTTTTCCTGTAGGATGTGACAGCAGTGGCTGAGTTTTGCCTTCTCCCCACTCCATCCCTGAGGCACGGGCAGCTGAGGAGGGGCTGGGACACGCAGTGTGTCCTTTGGCACTGGATCCACACACACCACTCCATCCCTTCACTTTGGAGCTCCGAGTTTCTCAGTGCCCTCTCAAAGTTGTCAGCAGCCCTCTGATTAATGACCAGATCAAACTCCAGAACAAGCTCCCCATTTCACCACCACAGGCACTTACATTCCTCTGCCACACCCATGCTCCTGTGGAAATGCCCTTTTTTTGGTGGTGCTGGTCACACACAAGGATACAGGAGCACATTTGGTGTCTGGGATGGGGAACTCAGACCTGTACATCAGGCAAAGCTTTGCAGCTCTCTCCAGCTCCGAGGCTGCATGTGCTCACCTCGTTATAAATATATTTTTGCACCCATTATATGTGCATTGCACATATTATGGCCCAGAGGATGAAATATTTGTGCTCAGTATTATAATTAGCAAAAGAATTTGCTTCCTTCTCAGCAGTTGAGAGACAAGCACGTTGACCTTCAGTGTCAAACCACCACATGGAAAATTTGGGTTGTGCTTTGTTTAAAATAACTTTTCCTGTTTACAGACTTTTACAATATGATATTAAAATAGTAAAAGGAAAAAAAAGATCTATTGTTACCTTTGCTTTACAAAAAGCCTGTCTGAAGCGCACCGTTTTGGTTAAATAAGAAAAAGAGATATTCTGCCGTTATCTTCACAAAAAGTGAGCAGTTTTGGATAAATACTTCACCGAGGCAGAGCAACAAGTGATTGCCCCTGCAGAGCAGAGATCTCCTTCCTCATCCTCCTCCCAGGGAACTGGAAAGACCACGTCAAGGGTTTGGGATTTTTCATAACAAAGGAATAAAAATTCCGATATTTAGAAATGAAACCCCCAGTGTTGCGTTATTTCGTTTAGTGTTTAGTCACTTTTTTTAATAATCAAACCAGATAAAATTACTAAAAATGAAATTCACAGACAAGAAATACTTTAATTAAATATTGTGTAAAATGAACATTTTTTTATACAGTTAAATATATGAAAAAATGTACAGATAAAACAATCTTATTGTAGGGTTTTTAACAGTAAAATCTACCATTTAGTGAAGCTTTCCGTCTGGAGACAATGAAGCAATGAGTGCATTGACTAATTAATCTAAAACACAAACAGATTGCATTTATGAAGGAACTTGCAGACTTTCTTAACATGTACACGTGACCTCTTTTTTAATTTTTTTTAGAGCAAAACCTTACTTAGACAAAATATAACGGAGGCAATTCAGTTCCAAAGTGACTTCTCAGGCTTTCCCACCTTGGCCATGCTCACAGAGCTGTGCTACGCTGAACCCTTCTTCTAAACCTTCCAGAAAAGCTTGACTAAAATGTGCATTTATTTTTTGCCCAAAAAGAAAAAAAAAAATACAAAAATAATAATAATAAAAAAAATTAATAATAATTAACAAAATGATCCCTCCTTTTTTGGTTAAAAGGTGAATTCTGCTGCAGTTTGCAACGTGTTTTGCAGTGCTGCGCTGGCAAAGGATTTAGTGCAAAGTAAAAATAAAAACAACTCCACGTTTTCTCTGGCTGGATTTGGCACTGAGAGCCACGGAATACAACGGAGGTCATTCCAGTTTAAAAAGTACCGTCGGCTACGGGTTGATTACAAAAAGTTCCCTAAAAAAAACCCCAAGAAACCTAAATAAACAACTCCCAGATATTAAAAATTCGGTGTGATCCTGATTTCCCGTGGAACCTTCCCCGGTTTTGAGCAGAGCAGGGTTTGGGAGAATGCAGAGTGCAGCAGAAAATCGACACGTAAAGGAGTGGCAGAATTGTACACCGGGATTGTGCTTTTTTTTCCCCCTTAGTTTTTACACCAGAAATCATCCAAATGAAGTCGTGATTAACAATTGTGGTGTAAGCCTGTGATAAAACAGCACAAAAGTTCTTCAAAGAAGTTCACTTTTAAGGCATCAGAGAAGTTCATGTGGCAAACATTTTAATTAAAACATCAGAAGTGAATTTATTTTTAAACTTTAGGCCTCTGAATTTTTCCAGTAAACACAGTTCAGCTATGTGGCAAAGTCATGGGTGGCAGCTAAAAAATGACTTTTTACAATCTTAAAAAAAAAAAAATTAAAAATAAAATTAAAAAATAAAGAAAATAAACAAACAGAAAAGAAAAAAAATGCAACCACAAAATAGATTCATCTTTTCTGTGGCTGTATCACATGCACATATTCTACTAGTATTCATTACAGCCATGTGGCACAATTTTGATTTGACTATACAACAAACGACTTCTTCTTTCAAAATTATTTGTTCTGATAACTTAAAAATAATATAAAAATAAACAATGAATTTGAATTTTTGAAAAAAAAAATTAAAAAAAGAAAGGATGGAAAGGCTAAACAATAGCAACCTTATGAAGTACAAATGAAATGCACAGACACTGATTTATTTAAAAGAAAAACATGAAGGCAACAGTTCTTGGCTTAATGCTATTTTCAGCATCACGATACCAGGCCAGGACAAAAACCAATACATACAAGAACATAAAAAAAATGATGAAAAGCAATATACAAAATTTCAAAGATAAATACAATATTTATAGTTGATATGTTACAAAATAAATTCCCTTAGTGACTGCAAGTGTTTATGTGAAAGAAAGTGTTGCAATGGATAAGACTATTTTATTCCTTATAGAGGTCATAAGGAATAAAATCTGCTCTTTTTTTGTCTAAATATTTAAGTGGATCTGAAAAAAATTCAAGACAAGTGTATAAATATTTAGCTACAACTTTGGCAAAATCACAAAAGTCTACAATTTTATAACCACATACAAAACACATTAGGGAAGAAGGATCTAGAAGTCAAAAGGACAATTTTCTGGTACAAGAAACATAGACTTCACAGTAGCCTAAAATGCAATAGTATACAGTGCTAGCAAAAGTTGAAAAAATGTTGCAGATCACACTTGCTTAACAGGAAGCTCTAGCAGTGGAAGTATATTTTTTTCATTTTTTTAAACCAACAGACAGTAGCAATTTCTTTTTTTTTTTTTCTCTGTCAGTGTGCTTGTTGAAGGCAAGAGAATTCAATATCAAAGTTACAATTTCTAACTACAATAAGTTACAAAGTTCCATTTCATTAAGATGAAGTTAAGCAACGATAAACCCCCCCGTGCCCGCCCCCACGCCCCGGTTTTTTGTGTGGTTTTTTTTTTTCTAATCATATATTCATCCTTTTTTTTTTATTCTTTTTTTTTTCCAGTTTGATGGCTCATAACCTCCTTGGCCCCCTTTTTTTTTTTTTCCACCACAAAAAAATATTTCACATTATAGAGATACACAACCATTGTGAATCTAGTTATGAGTACAGAAAAATGTTCGGAGGCATTTTTCATCAGTGTTTCATGATAATCAAAATGGTGCATCCACAAAGTTTCTCCCAACACATAGCAAGTACTAGACATAGCCAAGACGTAATCAGAAACTTTATACAAAATAGGCGTCGCTTTTTCCTTATTCTCCAGGACTGAGAAATGTGAAAATATGAGAAAAATTCAGTCAATAAAATGGAATTGTTCATGAAGAAGTAGGTTGTTTTGCATGTAGATTCTTAATAGTTTAAATAAAATCTTTAAACAAAGTCTTTTTTTTTTTTTCCTTTTTTGTGGGGGTTTTTTTTTGTGGGTTTTTTTTTTTAATTTTTTTCCTGTAGCATTTTCGATTTTGTTGCTGATTCCGCGTGAAGGTACTGCTTCCATCAGCATGTCTTAATATACTAAACTTGTCCCCTAAGCCCATCCTCTGCAGCTCGGTGCTACGGTAGGTAAACAAAAGTGACTTTACATTGGCGGGACTACAAGCCCGGACATGGCTAAAAGAAAAAAAGAGAAGAAAAGGAGCTGTTATTGGCACGCTGGGCTCAGAGCCACGCAGGACAGGGAGGGAGGATGCAGAGCATCCCCAGAGCAAGGACCACAGATGCTCCTCCATGCAAATCACCCCACGCAGCCTCTCCTCGAGAAAGGAGCTCTGAGGGCAGAACATCCCAGGCTCAATTCTCTCCAGGCTCATGGCAACTCCTCTGGCTGAGCCCCCATCCCTTGGGGGCATCCCCAACAATCACCTCTTCATGGCCTGGGCAGAAAAACCTCATTTTCTGCTATTCTACTTGGCAATAAAAGCAGGACTGAGCAAGCCAAGGACTCTCCAAAACCAAAACCAAGAGCTCTAAACCCTCTCCCAACCCTAGAGCTCAAACACCATAAAAAGACATGATATTAATACCCCTGACCAGTCATATCCTGGAGTTTCTTAATAGAAAAAGACTGAGATGCCAACAACCACTGTTTTTTCCTAGTTAACTCTTTGGTAGAAGCACAGCTCAGACAGCCTTTAATTTTAGTGTTGTTTAATTTTTGCCGTAATGATATTTCTCATTAATTTATGTACAACAGATATTAATAAATTTGTTCGTGTAGCGATGTGAACTTCAATTTCTCAGTTCATTAATTTCAACAATATTAATTTATTTCAGATTCGCCGTTGCAGCTTTATGGTTTGGAAGAGCTGGGTCTGTACACATTTCATAGGTAACACCACCAAAACCAGCACTGCTCCAACAGCCCAGAGCAGCCCCTGGTCCTGCCAGAGCCTTTTGTGGATTTGGATGGAGCTAAACCTCTCTAAAACACAGCTTAGGTGATATTCATGAAACAGGATAAAAATCTTCCAACTCTGCCGTTTTTCTCCCCAATTAAACGTATCCAAAATATCAAAATCAAAACTGAAGTTATAATTTTGCAACATTCTTCATAATGAATGTTTTAAACCTAACCAGCAACTTAAGTTACAAAATTTAACTGGAGAACAGTGGTTATATTGGCAGAGAGCCTTTCTGCACAAAATATTCAGTTTCCTTATCATGTTTTCAGAGAATCACAGAATCATGTAGATTGGCAAAGGTCTCAAAGATCACCAAGTCCAATCTGTGCCCAATCCCCACCTCACAGGTGACACAGAATGTCACCTCCAGCAAATTCTTTGGACTCCTGCAGGGATGGGGACTCCAAAACTCCCTGGGCAGCCCCTGCCAAGGCCTGACCACCCTCAAAAAAAAAATCACAAACTTCACTGGATGTCCTCTGTTCCACCCCTCATCAGGCCAGGCCAGCTGGTGACCTCACCCTGAGTTTGGAGCTGCCAAACCTCCACTCTCAGTTTGGCTTCTCCTGTGGGATTCAGCAGCAGATCTGTCACCATGCCACTCTGGTTATCTGGGGGTGCAGGAGATCACTTCAAGGAACAGCTGCCATGGAATCACGGAATCATTCGGGTTGGAAAAGACCTTTGAGGCCAAGTCCAACATCAGCCAGCACTGCTGTGGTTCACCACTAAACCGTGTCCTCAAGTGCCTCGTGCTGCCATTCAAGCATCAGCTGCTCCACACCTGGCAGTGTCCAAGGCCAGGCTGGACAGGGCTTGGAGCACTTTAGGACAGTGGAAGATGTCCCCGCCCATGGCAGAAGGTGGGACAGGATGGGCTTTAAGGTCCCTTCCAACCCAAACCATGCTATGATTCTACTGTCTGAGAACAGAATATCTGCTGTCATAGTTTTCCGGAGGAAAGAAAAAACATCTCAGTTCTTTAATTTAACCATTTTTGCTGAGATCTCTTTGTGGCACAGTCTGAGAGGGGGTGCAAGGCTGGTGCTCCAGATGTGCATTTCACTATTTATTTTAGTAGCAATCTTTGACAATTGTGAATTTCTGCACTGAGCTTCCTGCTGTGCAAATTGATACCAAACGCCTTCTTAAAGAAAAATGAGCTGGTGAGTTTTTTAATAATAATTTTAATACTTTCGTCTGGAGGAAGACCAGAAAATTAAGCAGGATGCAATTTTAAAAGAATATAGAGAGCCTTTTGCTGTGCATTATAGTCCTATAATCAGAGAGCAATATCTTTCACAATCTATAGAAAGCAAATTACGATTGAAAACCAAATTTTGAACATATATTGTGCTTCCAACTTTGCAGCCAGCCAATAGTCTCTCACTAAAAATTTTCTTTTCTACCTTTAATGTTCATTGTTTTAAACAGGAAAAGCCTCTCTGCCCTAAGGAACACACATGGCAGCATTCTGCTCTTAAAAAATTTGTGTGAGTACTTGACTTTCTGATCATAGACTGTGGAGGTCACGCAGAGTCAACAAGATTGTGGCTTTTTGGATAAGGCCCAAAAGCCCTTTTCTGTGGGATTACTCACAGCAGTGAGTCAGGCCCTGGGGACAGCAAGGGGACAGTTCTCCTCCAAAAGCTGCAGCTCCTGAGTGCTGGCCCTCCTTTAGGCTGACCATGGCCATGCAGTTGGCATGGGGGCAGCAAAGGGGAGCCCTGGCTGGCATTGCCCCCAGCCCGACCTCTCTGAGATCTCCCAGATTGCCTTTTTCACTCCTAACTTCTGCCTTCATCTTTGAATCATCAAATTCAAGAATGGCTGGGGTTGGAAGGGATCATTAGGGACCATCTTGTTCCAAACCCCTGCCATGAGCAAGGACAACTTCCACTGGAAATTGTCTTGGGATCTCTTTACCAAAAAAGACACCTCCAGCTGGCTCCATGCTCACTCTTGGGCAGCAGGTCCTACAGCACAGAGGGGTTTTGGGGTTGTGCTCACAGGCAGCAAGATCTTGCTGCTGGTGTGGTGGGCTCGGGTGGTCCTGATGCTCAGGGTTACATCAGCACAAGCCAGAAATCAGGGCAGCTCAACTTCTGTTTGACCCTTTGTTAGGGGACAAAACAACTCCCCTGAGGTCCAGCTGGAACTGCTTAATTCTGCTGCTCTCACCAACTTAGATGCACCACAAGCAGTGTTTTTCCCACACAGAGATACCCTACAGTGGTTTACCCATCAGGGAGGGTCAATTAACCCCCAAATCCCTGCAGAAGGACCATCCTTGTCTGAATTCTCATCCATTCTTATCCAAGGCCCTGCTTATCCATAAACTGCAAGATTTGCCTCTTATGCACTACCAGTGAGCTCTTCCTGCCCCTTGGCTTGCCTGAATGTGGCCATTCCTAACAGTGACATCTCCTCAGCTCCTTCACACCCTGCCCTAAAATGAGACTCTGTACATGAAGATCACCAAAAAAAAACCTCAGCTGCGTTGGACCGCAGCTCTCAAATTCCATATTTTAACTTAATGTAGAAAATGTGCTGATCAGAAAGCTCTCAAGGTGATTGTACAGAGTCCAGAAAGCAACTAATTAAACTTTAAAAAGAGTTCCCTGACAACAAATGACTGAGAAAATAGGAAGGAAGAAGCAGTAGCTCCCTAATGAACTCTATGTATCAAATGCAGTGTAGATAAGTACCCACACAGCAGTGTTGGTGGTTTTTCTTGGCCATGCCTCATGAAGGAAGGAGCTGACAAACCCATCTCGGTCCTGCCCCTCAGCCCTGGCTGCAGCTCAGGCCAAGGCACAGATGTGAGGATGAATGGGTGAGTCTGAGGCCTGTTGTGAGCTCAGTCTGAACTGACTCAAAGAATCAAGGTGGAAGAAGGGAAGGTGACTCTGCTGGGATGGTGAAGGAGCTCACAGAGACTCCTGGGTGGGGAGGTGAGGTGGTGCTGAGGCCCTGGCACAGGCAAAGCTGTGGCTGCCCCATCCCTGGGAGTGTCCAAGCCAGGCTGGACAGGCCTTGGAGCAGCCTGGGACAGTGGAAGTTGTCCCTGCCCAAAGCTGGAGCTCAGTGATCTCCAAGGTCCCGTCCAACCCAAACCATTCCAGGATTCTGTGATTCCATGTCAGTTCCCTAACTCCCACAACACTGAGCATCGCCTTGGGGTGCTGCCTACTTTGCATAAATTATGCAAACATTTTGCCGCAACCCTGGAAGTCGCTGCTCTAGGTACTAGGCCAGAAGGACATTCTGCCTGTTTCTCTGTTCTGTTTAATCACTGTTCTGCCCAACACAAAATGACTCAGGTTCAGCTGACAGAGGAAAGTTGGCCATTTTTATTTAATTAATTATTTATTTATCGGTGGTATAATCTATTTAATTTCAACACATGGATTGCAGCATCCAAAAATCAGGGATTGAAGGCATGTTTAGGTCTTCACTGGGCGCTCTGGGCACGGAAAAAGCTTAGTGCAAAGCAAGGTTGGGCTCAGCTTAATAGCTGAATTCATGACCTATTTAACAAATCACTACTGGCTGATTCCAAGTCATCTTCTGAGCTTTACACAAAAAGCATTTTGTACCTGAGGATGGAGATGTGCAGTTACTGGGGGCCTGGGGAGGTACTAAGGGACATTGGGGGCTTATTCAGCCCTCCCAGTTGTCCTTAAAACCCCACTTTGAGGTAATCTAGAGATTTTAAGTACCTAAAACCTCAAGTATATGACAGGAAGACCCTTACTCACATACTGAAATGGCAAAAAATTGGATCATTTTAATTTAGATCTTTAAATAATTGCGTTTATCAAAGTAAATCAAAATCAATTCGTTGATCTTCCTGCCTCACATTTAAGCCATATGTTACCACATTTATATTATATATTTATTTTATTTTTGTTTATTTTTTATTATTTATTTTACTATCTCATTTTTCCTTTTTTTTTCATTATTTTATTTCAGTATTTACTTTTTATATCAGTGCCTTCTAACAAAAAGAGGAAAGTAGGACACTGAATTATTTTATGAATGGATTATCTTTTCTAAGAATATGGATATAGTTTTCTACTTACAGTAGTAACACAGTGAAGCTTCCACTAAAGAAATACACAAAAAACTGTTAATTTAATTATCCTTTCCTTTAGCATCATGCTACAGTGAGTTTGTGCATCTTGATTCTCAGCTCTTTGTTGACCTGAGTGCATAACAAGGTCTCAGATGGTTTTTTTGGGCCAAGAAGTTAAGAGCAAGCTACAGGAAGATTCATTTTGAGATCCTGCAATGGATTTGGGGTGGACAGGCATCTTTATGGGATTGGGTCCAAAATGCCTTCAGCACCCCACAAAATGCTGGTGTCCAGGAATGGTTTGGCAAATTAAAATCCTCCTCATCTGTTTGCCTGTGAGTGCTGGTTGGATTAGGGGTGTCATGGTGATATAAAGGATAAATAATCCTGTGCTGCTGCTGCTGCTTAGCTGAGAAGTCAAGAGGAGTGACGACCTTGGGATGAGACTTTCCTCAACCCTTCCTGGCTTCAATGGGATCTGAAGTGCCTCAATTCACTGCACTGTGCACTGAGATTCCAGCAGAGGCAAACAAACCTTCCCAGTGATTCTAATGCACCCATATGCATGTTTAAAATACCCCCTAAAATGGCAAAATTGGCCATGAGTGTTCCTTTTTAGGGTGACTTCTTTGTGGACATTGTGCCTTAATTCCTCCTGCCCCACACCCTGCAGGTGGCCATGGACATTCTGCCACTGATTTATCAGTTGTTTCTTGCATTACCCACATGAAATCACATGGATTATGAATTTAAAATAAAAATTACTAAATATTAAAATTTCCTGCCCAAATTAAAATATTTAGTTCATTTAGGGATGTAACCACTCTAACACCACAGTAAGAGCTGGCACCACCAGAGCATGCAAACCACTGCATACAGGGCTGCCTAGTCCAGGAAAGCTCAGTCCACTGAGTAAGGGCTTAACCTGACTTATATTAACTTGACATATTTAAAATCACTACTGCACCCTATATAAAGTGAGGAAATCACACCGTGTCCTGCCAGAACACTGCTGGGTTTAAACATCCACAGAAATGTGTTCAGAAAACATAAAAACACCAGGAGTACACAAACCCTCCAAGAGGCATTCCGGGATACAGTCTTCCCTTAAAATTTAAGGCACGGACTCCTAAGGGAAAATGCCAGAAAAACAACTGGTGTTTGCTCTAATGCAAGCATCAAAAATGAACTAAAAACCTCAAAATTTCAGCAGACCATTCACTCTACCCTATTTCTCCCCCTGTTTTTTGCATCGCTACAAGAGCACTGAAAAATCCAGCCAGGTACCTTTCTCCCCGAGAAAAAAAAAGAGCACAAAGAAAAAAAAAGAGAAAAAAAAAAAAAAAAAAAAAGGCAGCAGAGAGAAAATTGAGAGAGATCGGGCTCACCTTGAAGTCCATTTCCATTTGCACTGGTGCAAGATGGTGGAGGAGAGGCTTGGGGCCTGACAACAGGAGCGAAGGCGCTCTTTTGTTTCACTGCAGAGATGACATTGGCAGGTGAGAATGAGAAAATGCCGTGTGTACTGCTACAGTTTGAAGGGAGGGTGACCGAAGAGGCTGCCATGGTAGGGCTTGACGGCACTACTGCAATAAAGCAAAAATAATCAGGACTCAGATTGAGGTTTTCACGGCAAACACGGAAAAAGAGAGTGATAGGGCCTTGCCTCTTAAAATATATATAGAGATATATATATATATATAAAAAAAATATATATAAAAAAATAAAAATGAAATGCCTTGGCTTGGCCACTCTCTGGATAACAGGCAAACTCTTTTGTGTTGGACTTTTGTTACGAATTGCGCAGTCCAATTTTTATTTTGGTTTTTTTTTGTTTCATTTTGTTTTGTTCGTTCTTTTTTTTTTTTTTTCTCTATCTGAGATTGTATTCTGGCACAAACAGATCAATTTATTATTTTCATTTTTACGTCCAGCCTCCAGAGTCACCCTTCCTTTTATCCAGTAGCTGACAATAGAGGAAATCAAAACAATGCAAGGAGTTGATTTTGTAGTAAATATGAATCTATATGATGATGTGTTACCAAAAATAGACACTTACTGCCATAAGGAGAGTTAGCTGAGGAGCCATTAAGAAATCCAGGGGAACCTGGTACACCTAGATTGGGCATGCCGGCATTGCCATATCCATTCATGCTATTGCTGACTGTGTTGTAATTGGACTGCTGAGGAGTACTGCTGGGAACATATCCTCGCGGGGAAACACTGCTTGTGTTGCGACTGTAACCTACTGTGTTAGAAACCCCCCCACCCCAAAAAAATAATGTTATTTTATAAGATAGACTTAGGGCTGGGGGGTTTCCTCATGCAGCATATATTACACAGTTTTAATTGATTGCACAGCTTTGCTCTGAGTTGTCTCTCACTGCCCTATCAACTCTTGCAGCTTGAGATAACCTTATCACGCCAACCCTACTTAAATCATCCGCGAGCACTCTATGTTGTCTCTCCTCTTAGCACAGACAGCCAACAAAAGCTCTCTTCGATCCAGCTGTGTCAGGTGCCTTCACGTTTGTCTTTAGGAGCAATTATCAACAGGCTCGAGTCCCGCTTTGTACCAACACACTGCGTGAACTTTCAGCCTCTCCGCACCTTCAAATGCCAGAGCTGACAAGAAAAACTTTTTTGTTGCGGTGATTTACTTTAAAAGGCTGTTTTGGGGTCTTCATTTTGTGATTGATATTTTTTTATGCTAACAACAAGCTTTCGTAAGGTGTAGCCATCAGTGAAAACTAATTCAAGAGCAAGTACAGAATTTTATAAGGCTTATTAGCTTGGAAACGCATTAAAAGACAATCTTTTTAGAAGAGGAAACATAGCGGAATCAGGATTTTAAACAACAATTTGTTCCTATCTGAGCAATCAATTTAATAATTACGTTGCAAGCAAAAAAAAATGCGTTTGAACATATCTAATAATCCTGTTTCCCTCCTTTCATTAGTATCAAAATTAATTTTAAATGCAATATGCTACATGCATTTTCAATTACAACAGGTAAATTAAATCAACTATTACTTTTATTAGTAACATATATGTCACACATGCCTACAAACAAAGTATTTTAAAATCACAGACATCAAATTAGATTTATCTGTGTAAATATTCCAAAACCAGGTGGAGGTACAGAGACATAATTATTTTATAAACCAACCATACACACTGTAAATTTACTGCGAATAACAAAGAGCTTTCTACACTTTGCCAATTGTATTTTTTTTCCCCCACCGGAGATGCTTTATGATAACAGTAAACGAAAGAACAGGGAGAATTAAATATTACGAGAAAAGTTAAAGACGGCATTTCATTCCGCGCTCAGACACACGGCCAGGGGGACAGAGAGAGGGAGGACACGGCGGTGACATCAGCTCGCACGAACGGGCCAAAAGCAGCCAACAAGGTGTAGGATTAACCCTTGGAACCCCACCTACCTTGGTCGTTGGCTTGCGATGTTTCGGAGACATTGACGGCGAGCTGGCTGCTGAAGGAGTTCACGCCCATCATGCCGGTGTGGGCGGGAGTGTTGGCTAGAGTGGGGATCTGGTTGTGGTTGCGGGGCACGCTGTACAACGCCTCAGCAATGTCAGCTGCTCGTTTCAGGATTATTTCCTAGGGAGACACGGAACAAGCACTGACAACTCAGATTTGTGCAAACCTCCAAAGTCGCAATAGTGCAAAAATTTACCGAAGAGATTCACGTGGAATTATAGCGAGGGTGGGGGGTTTGCTGCTTGTTCCAACCACACCTCCTGTTTTTCCTTCCCATGCCCAATTGCTCCTCAACACAGCAAATATAAAGAAATGAAGAAATTAACATAAAACTCCAGTTTAGCACTGGAAGCCAGGTGAAAATCGTCACAGGGGTTTTATGCGCCCAAGGCAGGAGTTGTATTTTCAGCAGTTTGCAAAATACAGTACAGCTGATCCACTCGGCTGAGCAGATTTCTTTAGGACTTCCCATTAGTCACTGTATATTTTGGCCCCAGTTCAAGGTTATTCTCTTGCCTTAATGCTTGCTTATGCTTTTGGCACCTCGCACATAATTGTCATTTCTGATAGGCAAACGAGCAGCGAGAGGAGAAGGGGAAGATGAAGCGCTTCCCTCGGAGCATTGCATCACATCACACTGCCCTCAAGGTGGCTGGCAAAGCCTGGCTGTGTACAAAGGCAACGTGCTGATGCTCTGCCAGCCCTGCACAGAGCAGGTATTGATCTACACGTGTCGGCGTGGGAACAAAGAGCGCGCTGCTGACCTACCTGGTTGTTATGGGGCATCCCATATAGGGCTTCAACAAGGTCTGCTGCTCTCTTAAGTAATACTTCCTAAAGGAAAACAAACAACCTGCGTTATGTTCCACTAAGACAGGAGCAGTGCAGCAATGTTGGCAGTTGTAGGGTCGCTAATTGGAAGGAACTGATAAAGTGGATAAAGTGCATCACGTGCTGCCCGTGTGCTCCCGCTATATTTAGGGGATGCATTACAAAGATAGGAAGGTATTTTGTTTGGGAGGAAAATAGGGCTTGTGGTTTGAAGTCAAAGTTAGAGACGAGCCTAAAAATAATATTGCATTTTACATCCAGCTGTTCAATTATGATTGACTCGGAAAGGTGTTTGCTGCTGTAGCATGTAGCTCTCGTGCTGAATTAGTGAAATCAGTGCTTGAGGTTTAATGATGTAGTCTTATGGGTATTAAACAAACAAACAC